TTAGTCAGAACTCTCCACTATGACCTGTCCGTCTTGGGTGTCCCTGCACGGCATAGCCCATAGCTTCTCTGAATTATTCAAGCCCCTTCGCCACAACAAGGCAGCAATCCGTGAAGGGGATAAGGCCACACTTGACAATTATAAAACTAACTAAAAGGAGTTACTCTGCAAATGTTATCCCTTGTTTAAGGAATGTTAGAATGATGTTATCCCCTGTTTAGTTAATACTGTAATATACCTTTGATATATGAAAATAGGATTAATTAAAGTTACTATTTGTAGTGAATTACGTCCAACCTTGGCCAAACCATCCTGATGTTTGAGTTGACCAAGGAAAACATTCTTTTTCTTTTAAAGACTGTGGTGTAGATAGAGCATCAGACAATTACTCAGCGTCACAGAGTTCAAATCTCTACTTGGCCGCAGAAACTCACAGGGTGATGGGGGTGGATAGCACTAGTAAAACCACTCCTTAAACATCTCACAGACCACTGGTTCTTAACCTTTGTTACTCAGATGTTTTTGGACTGCAACTCCCAGAAGCCTTCACCATCAGCTCTGCTGGCTGAGGTTTCTGGGAGTTGCAGTTCAAAAACACCTGAGTAACAAAGGTTAAGAACCACTGTCACAGATGTTGAAAACCCTGTTAGGGAATGCTACAAATTGGAAGTGACTTGGCCACAAGTCAAGCAAAGTCGTAATACGATTAATAAAGAACTAGTTTTGTAAACCATGGCCCTCTGTGGTGTTAAAGGTCTTTGCCAATGGATGTGCTGGAAGGGCTGAGGTGAAGCAGTGGGTGACTGGAGGAACAGCATGTGCAGGCAGGGAGCTCCTCCTCTGGAAAGTGGGCCAGCCCCCTTAACTAGTATTGAAATAACATTTGACCCCTAGTTAATCTAATCCCTGCACAAACAACACCAGAGGAGCTCTATTGATGGGCTCCTTATCAGAGTCTCCTTTTGACCAAAGATCATGCTGTCTCCTGTTTGCAGTGTCAACACTGATGCTTTTTCTGCTGTAGTTTCTCCTCAGATATCTGCCTTAATTATTATGTGTAAATGCATATAGATTTTAATTCTTTAGAAATACCTTTAATTATACTGTCTCTGGGGCCTAAGCTTTGAAAAATATATATTTGCACTGATTTGCTACAGGGTAGTTTGGGCTTTATTCCCCACCCCCACCCCTTGCATCCTACTTCTTGTTTGTGTGGGCTTTTGCTTGCACTGAAAATATTTCGAGAATTCCCTTTCTGTTCAGAGGAGGAAATCTGAACCAAACAGCTTTGGCCACTAGGTTTCTTCTAAAGGTTCCTAAGTTAAAAGCTAGAGACAGGAAACCTTTTTTTTTTAAGAAAAAAAAGTGGTGTGTGTGTGGGGGGGGAAGGACCACCCCTGGATGCAACAGATGACTTTTAAAAGGCCCTGCCTCCCGGCGCTGTTTTGCCTTAAACGCTTGCAAGCGGGATAATTGAAAGAAAGGCAGGGAGGCGGTGAATTAACTCTTTGTAAAAGCACTTTGTGGGGGGTAAATCCTGCTAGGCTCCTTCCTTCTCAACCGGTCTTGGGCGGCGCGGAGAACTTTATCCGTGGTAGGAAGTAAAATAGAATTAAAAAAAAACCCAATAATCAAAAAGTCAGCGAAAGAAGGAGGGAGAAAGAAAGAGAGAGGGAAGAGTGTGCTGAGCGTCCGCCGGGGTCTTCTCTGTTCTCCCTGCTTGCTTCTCCTGGGACCTTTTTTTTTTTGGCTTCCGCGTTTGCTGATGGAGAATCTCCGTTGGAACCGGTTTCTGCAGCTTCTCCTTTTTGTGTCTTTGGTGCCTTTGCACAGGGGACAAGGTAAGGCAATCGCCGCCGGGCTCCACAATGCCTGCCGTGCCGGGAAGGAAGATCGGCTCCCTCCGACCCCCCTTTACCTTAGCTGAGAAGCCGACCTTTGAAGCAGACGCGAGGGCTGCTTCGAGGAAGCTTGGGGGCCTTTTGAGTCGAGGAGCCCGGCGAGGGAGATCGCCAAGCGCGCTCCAGGGGCGCCGGGCCAGCACGCGGGTGGTTCTGCTTGCCGCAGGTCCTGCCAAAATAAGCATCTTGCAAGTGCCCCGTTGGTTTCGATGGGACTTTCAAACGCTCAGCCTTGGCACAATCGAGTCAGCGTTCCTGTATTCAGAGCTGGTTTTCTTCAAGTTAT